GTGTTCTATTCGGCGGAAGACAGCTAGTTCATACTATTTTATAATCTGCCCTGAGATCTCCAAATCCAATTTCAAGCGTTCACGATTTTGTGCGCGTTGGACCTCCGCCACAAAAACATTCTGAATGCATCTGAACACCGCTACGATCCTGATGCATTCGAGATGTCTGGTCAGTCCGAATGAATCTGGATTGTAGCGCTGTTCAGATCCGTATAAAATGTTTTTTCTTTAATCTTTATGTTTATTGTTATTATGACTGTTTATTGTTATTATGACTGTGACCGATACATTCGAGATGTCTGGTCAGTCCGAAAGAATCTGGATCGTAGGGCTGTCCAGATCCGTATAAAATGTTGTTATTATTATTATTATTATTATTTATTATTATTATTTATTATTATTATTATTATTATTTATTATTATTATTATTATTATTATTTATTATTTATTATTATTATTATTATTTATTATTATTATTATTATTATTATTTATTATTATTATTATGACTGTGACCTAGCGCTACTGCAAAGACCACGTGGTCTTCTCTTTTTTTTTTTTTCTTCTTTAAATTATCAAATAATTAACTGTCTTTTTTTTTCTTTAAATTATCAAAGATTAAACTGATCAGAACAGATACTACAAGTGATCTTAACCAAAAGGCCGAGAAAGGATATGTGGTCATCTTCCCGCTGAATTTTCCTTAATCCTTTTTTCTTTTTTTTTTTGTTAATGTTCCCGAATCTTTGATACGTTGCGTGAGTGCCTTTTTTATTAATTATATGATAATGAGCTATGCCTTTTCCCGTTGGGGAGGGAGTGCAATATTCACACTAGACTTTTCCCGATTGCAATTGCAGTCAAGATGCATCATGGAAAGAGCTATGCCTTTTTAATCATCAGCAGTCTGATCACATCCCATGTAGTTTAACCACAGGGTATATTCACACGTTAGACTTTTCTCGAGTGAATCTGACTGCAATCGCTGTCAGATGCATCGTGGAATGTCCTATACACTTAATACTTCGCAGCTCATCCTGGAATGTCCTATACTATAGTAATTCGCAGCCGTTCTGCTCCATGTATGTATTACCTTATCCCAAACCCCCCCCCCCAAAAAAAATAAAAAAAATAGTGGGGCGTGTGCAGCGAGAGTGCGCACCACGTGGGCTAAACCTAAAAAATGGGGTTTTTTGCCCCCCCCGGGGCCACACCCACCACTGGTGGGACTGGGATAGCGGCTGGTGTGGGGCTGGGGGCGGGACCAACAGCCGGCGGGGTTGGGGTTGAGTGTTGGCGGGGGCGCGGGGCGAGATGTGTATAAGAGACAGGTTATGTTCGGGGGAAGAGGGTAGCACCGATTTCCCCCACGGAGTGGTGTGCCGAGGGCCATAGTCAATGAGCAAAGACAAACAACCCTCTCCGTGGGCTAGGTCCCACTTGCACGAATTAAGAGATACTGACCGTAGATAGCAAAGATCAACGGCCAAAATCTCCTAGTTTGCGCAAGTGGGACCTTTGCCATGTGAAAGTCCAAGGTCTCGAGCCTCGCGCCACTACTCTCGACATGCACAAACGACAAAAGTCATGGCGGTGCATCTTCCCATGTTCCAGGGGAAGATTCACTCTCGATTTGACACATATTGACAAAAGTCATGGCGGTGCATCTTCCCATGTTCCAGCGGAAGATTCACTCTCGATTTGACACATATTGAGTAGTGGAGCGAGAAAAAAAAAAAAAAAAAAAAGTAGTGGAGCGAGGGCCCTTGGAGCGCGATTAGTGCGCTTATTGCGATACGAATACGGTTATTCCGCCAGGCAGACCCGCTCGCTAGGTAGCACCCGGATCTAAGGGCATACTGGCACTGCCACCCTTCTAAAAATGTATGTGATCACAAATACGGCCAACTGTGGACGAATCTGACCGTAATTACCTCCAGAGCTTAGTAGAAAAGCCCCTACCTAGTTGTGAGCATCCCCTCGGCTTGCATGCATGATGATCTTGACTGCTGACGATCAATTGGTCCTTGTGGTATTGGCTCCCCCCATCAGTGACCGTTTTTTGTCGATTTGTGAGGATAACGCAAATCTAACCTCTAAGAGCACACTCACACACTAGAACTTCTTACTACGTATTATTTATGGCTGTAATTGCGTTCATATACACAACGCTGTGGCCGTCATTGCGGTCAGATGCATTTAAGATAGAGCTAGGTGGTGTGTGAGTACCACTCCAAGTGGTTTGCAGGCGAGTCTGCATCTCTTGTTCGAAGGGGAGTGTCCGCAGGGGTGTCGCTCTCTTCTTTGAAAACAAACAAGCTTTTCAGAAGAAAAAAAAAAGAAAAAAAAAAGAGGAGTGTCCGCAGGGGTGTGCCTGACGAGGGGTGATCGCTGCACTACTCTCGACATGCACAAAAGACAAAAATCATGGCCGTGCATCTTTCCATATTCTAGCGCAAGATTCACTTTCGTTTTGCACATTTCGAGAGTAGTGCAGCGAGGCCCAGATAGAGAGAAGAATATGGGCCTCGCTGCACTACTCTCGAAATGTGCAAAACGAGAGTGAATCTTCCGCTAGAATTCGGAAAGATACACCGCCA